TTTTTTTTTTTTAAAAACTATGAATGTGTGTTAGATAGCCTCACTCTGCGTTAGATAAATCACGCATAAATCATTTTCGTATAAATATTAAAATTTAGTTTACACATTTTTGGAAGTAAAAACAGCTACGCAGCAGAATTAGACAAGATGGAAGTTGCGATCGGTTTAAATCGAATTTGTTTTCATTTACCATTAAATTGTGGTCGTTAATATATTATATATGTATGACCGATTTCGTTTACTGAATTTGAATGCACCGTAATGCACAGTGTTCAAGCGACATGCGGGGATCTATAGCCTTGCTATAAGAGTTCAGTGTCTTTCTTGGCTTTCCCAAGATTACATCAGGGGTCGTCTAACAGCAGGCGATTTGAATACGTTACTCTGCAATAATCTTACGTTAAAAAAAATGTTTCATTCGCCGGTAACATATATGCATGCTTCGTCAATAGCTACCGAATTTACTTAATATCGGCGGCTATAAATAGCCCTTAAGTTAGATATTGCTAACGTCATAGAGTAGCACAGTAAAAAGCACATATTTGCCATGAAGAATAGGTTGATGATGAACTAGGTTGTAAGCAAACACGACAATTTACTTCGAATACCAATCTCAAGTTGCGTTCAGGACAAGGGAGAAAATGCGAGCAAGATAGAGAAAAACAAAAAACATTTCAGAGACAAGCAAAAGATGGACGGACGGATGAGAAGTCATGTTCATTGTTCATAGAATTTCCTATCTTAAAGGGCTTTGAAAAGCTACCTAAAGCTGTTAAACTGCACACCACGCACGTCACCTATGACGTTGTAAGTGAACGCTAAGTCAGCCTACAGTAAACTTGATTTTTGTTAAATAGTGAACTAATAAAATTCATAGCATTATATTTCATTGAAATTGTGTTACTCATTAGGTTAAACCCATCTAAATGGATGATTGTTTCGTTCTCTTGCTCTGGGCGTTAAGTCGTTTTAACGAATGCAGAGAAAAGAATCGCTTTTTTTAGACAAACTTTTCGACTTGCTTTTCGAAAAGCTTTATCAATTTCCGATTGCATTCCAAATATTTGACTAATCTGTTATATCTCCTGTGGTGGAGATAAAAAATCGCATACTATTGCTTTTTGATTTTAAGCGTTTCACTTAACTTTTGTTTACATTTCACTCCCGCTACTCACTTTAGTGTTCGATTAAACAAATAATATTTCATGTTGCCGCGTTTTTGTAGGATTCTGCTTTTCGCCTTTTCGATACAATCACAAAATGATATTTAGTTGCGTGTGTTTAATGAAAATATTATTTGATTCACTTGTTAAATATTTAAAGAAATAATTTTTATACAAACAAATGCATCGAAACTAATTAAAGAGTTTTGGGAGAAAATTAATCGGAAAATTAAAAATTATTTGTTTATTGAATTCAAGTTCTTCGGAATATAAAAAAAAAAAAAAAAAACTAGGAAAAATACTATAGCGGGGCAGGGCTCACAATTAAATTGCCAACATCTTACCACCCTACAGTTAGCAATATGTCGACTTTTCAAAATAAGCCGAAGGCGATCGAAAACATGGACCGATTTAAACCGTTTTCAATAGCATGCGCCCTTGGACTCGGAGCAGGCCAGTCTACCAAGTTTCATTAAAATATATCAATGCACGTTGAACACAAGGAAACAAGGAGGACGGAAGGGCGAACAAACAGACGGATAGTCGGTGTAATATAAGATATGTCCGTCTCGAGTCCTTCTGGGTTTCCAAATGCCCTTGTCCCATCAGTAGCATAGGATGTAATGCGAAGAACTTGCATCGAATATTTAAATACCTAGTATTTCTTCTTTTATTATACATCTACTGGCAGACAGAGGAGCGAATGCACAGTAAAGCGGATAAATGGACTCCGAATTTTGCGGAGAACAAAATTATAGAATTTATATATACGCATACATATACATATATATATGTATAATGAGAATAATGAGAAGTAGTATGTTTGGTTGTAAACATGAAAGAATACACTCTCGATAATGAGTGCAAAAATTGAATTTTCAAATAATCAAAGTCATTCGATCACAATCGCCCAACTTTTTAATAGAGCGAGTTTAGTTTAGTTTTAGATTAAACTCAAATACCTTAATACAGGTATTTTTACCTTTCTAGGGAATACGTTACCGCATACTTTGAAATCCTTTCAATACCTTTAGAAGAAAAGATTATTACTTCAGTCGGGTTATGCTTATCTTAAAAACTCGTTTGTACACGATACTTACGCACCTTGTAACGATGCACTTTGACCTATCGCTTTAGATACAAAATAAAAATAACAGGGAAAAAAATATAATAAGGCTTACAACATAAGAAAGTGAAACAATTTGAAAATTTTTATACTTTTCTCAAAACTATTGGCAAAGAAAGTCGACGCTCACGAGAAAATATAAATTTTTTTTTTCTTATCGTTTATGATCAGCCACGTTGGGGGTCAGGAAAAAAGAAGTGAGCGGAGAGAGATGGAAGAAGTAAACGCTAGTTGAAATTTTTACAGGTTTCCATTTTTTCTTTAGTCGAGCAACGCTGCATTTACCCTGAGGATAATTTTATATGTAACACGTATAGCACGCATTCACATTTCACTTGAAACCAAAGGCGTTTACATTAAGCAATTAATTGCGCTATGTAAACATGTAGTGAATAATGAAGAATTGATACAAAAACAATTACAAAGTCGTATATATCATATATATGAATATGTTTATAAATGGCCGAATAGTTTTGAGTATATCCGGAAATGCCAAACACAAATTCTAAAAAAAAAAAAAAAAAAAAAAAATGTAAAACAAGTAAAAACACTATAGTGGGCTACCATTTAATTACTTACTCATCCTATAGTTATTCATGTAGCGATTTTTCAAGATCGTTGTGTTATACGCGAAGTGGTCGAAGAAATATTTCGATCGGAACCATTTCCAATATCAATCAAGCATCGTAGCCTGTAGGCAGAACGCAAGAACACAAGATGGGCAGACAGACAGACTTAGATCGATTTGGAAAGTGATTCTGAATTGATTTCTATAATAAAAGACAAGTCTGCCTCCAGTTCTTCTGAGTGTTGCATACATCAGCACAAACTTAACATACCCTTGCGCCAGAAGTGGTTTAGGAGATAAAAATATCTAATCAAAATATATAAGTTCAGTTTTAATGAACTTACACCCACCACTTGGCAGCACACCCATACTGTCAAATCTGCTACCAATTTGACGTAAATTAGGTGAACTATTTCACGTCACTATATCCGGCTGAAATCTACTTCCAATTTATTATAAAACATATTAATAATGTGTGGAATAACATAGTACTAAGTCGCTTCATTCGTGATCATATTTGTAAACACTTGACTAGGAAGTTGTCGGAAATATCTTTACAGGGTTGAAGGTTATAAATGAAAACATGGAAAAATTATTTGAGGTTGCTTATGGGCGGGTCAGCAGGCACACTACAATCATTCTGCATTTTTGTGACTATGGCAATTCCAGAGAAAGGAGGCACAAAAATGACCCCTTGTGAGAGAGAGAGAGAGAGAGAGAGAGAGAGAGAGAGGTACATGCAGCCGAGATATCTCACAAACCGAACCAAGTAGAAAAAAATTGACTATAGAAGGGGTCTTCTCACACAAATAAAAAAGTCACCAAAAAGGGTTGGAACATTGCATACCTTATGCTGATCTTTTTAATGATCGAAAACGACATACTCGATAGTTCTAGGGTTAAAAGAAAATAATAAGCAAAAAGCCAAGCAAATAGCTAAGTGTAAGCGAATATATTGTTAGATTAACTAAGGTTGTAATAAACCTTAAGGCAAAATTTGCAGTTAACACGAACCGTTATTAAAGTTCAATAATCCATTTTCATTCACGGTAGCGGCGAGTCGGGTATATCTGAAAAAATCAATTATTGAAAAATTTATTTATTAGAATGAACCCGTTATTATGAAGCCAAAGGCCCTTTTATTTTCAAAAATTTTATGAAAAAAAAAAAAGACAAGCATGGATAAGAGTTACAGAGAGAGAGAGAGAAAGAGAGAGAGAGAGAGAGAGAGAGAGAGAGGGAGAGCGCGAACGCATATGCATATATAGATAGATATGTAATTCAAAAATTAACATTCACTACAAAAGCAACAATTACAATAATTCATATTTACTTAAAGTGATTACAAAAATCACCGGCACAAAATTATGATTGCGCACGTTTTTAAACAAGAAAAAAGAGAAATAAATAAAATAAACAATAAAAGCTATAAAACAAATCTATTGTGAAATTTTTATTGTAATAGAATTAAAGCAGACGGTATAATTTATACGCTTACATACATACACACGAACGCGAGGTTTGCTATGAATTGTTGTTCGTATCTACATTGTAAGCGATTCCCAAACTAGATTAATTGAAAGAGTAACAAACCGTATCATTGATTGATAGTAGACGCTATAAAATTACAAAGCGTGTTGTAGAAGACGCTAAAAATTTACAAGGCGTCTACTATTAGGGCATTGTGCCAAATTGTTTCTCGAAATTATTTCTAAAGAAAAATCAATCAGTTAACTATTTACGTCTTATGCTTCGTTCATACATATTATACAAATTCATTCTAATGTTCAAAGTTCTTGTTCTCTGACAGCACTCATTACACATCTTATTACATTTCTTTACTTTAGTCAAGTAACGAATTCAAGGCAGCAGCGAAATGCTGCTGGTGTTGTTCATTATTGAAAAATTCCAATAATTTACTTCTCAGTACCAATAATAATAATAATGAATCAAATGTAATGTAAGGCACAAAAATGCAAATCAACCTTGGTTTTAATGTGAGTACACATTTAATGCATTATTAATTTTAAAAGTTCATCTCAATTATTGATAAATTTTATGACTTTTTGATTGGCTTTTTGGTGCTCAGATGATTATGTCCTACACCATAGGTGGCATAAGAGTGCAGTAAGTTTATGCGGATGTACGCAACACCCCGAAGGAGTTGAGATAGGAGACTCACACTGCCAATCTATCTGTCTGTCTGCTTTGGGTTCTTGTGTTTGAGGCACGGGTCGCAACTTTTGGAATATTCTGATGAAACTTCGTACACTGTCGTGTTTTAGCAGAAAGACGACTACGATTCGGATGGGACCCCTTTTGCGACCACTCCACATATGACACCTCATATGATTAGCTGTAGGGTGATTTAGGGTATTTAATGGGTTGGTCTTGGCCCACTATGATGTATTGATTGTAGTGATTGTTAATAATAAAATTTAATAATTCCATTTCTGCTTATTTTCTTATAGGATATACTGGTGAAATGTGTTAGGAAATTAGAAGCGTGTCTGTGGCTATCTACAATATGTGAAGAAGCTATCTTTGCGGTGAATCAATTCGAAAGGATATTTTATGTACATATTTATTCTATTAAACTTCAGTTCAATGATTTCAATTTTATCGAATGAAATTCGTTTTAGTACGCATCAATCCACGAATGACATTACGGGATTACGGGATTACAGGATTACTAAATCTCTCTAACTTCTCAAAAGGAATCATTCGTTTGACGCAGCTAGAGTCTTTGAAGCACTTAAGGAAGACCTCGAAATTTCAAGAAAAACATTTGTTTTAAAGAAAGATTTTTTTCTTTAAAAACCAGAGTGGTCCTTAAGATCAAGGACCCAAACACGGAACTATAGCCGATAGACTAATCTGTTCTGGCTAATTAACAAAAAATGAACGATACCTTGTTTCTCTCAACTTGCGACATAAAACTTTGCTTTAATCGGTTTGAGTTGAAATAATCAAAAAAAGTCCGCAATTAGGTCGAACACTAACTGACTATTGCGATGAAAAAGTAGTAAGCCTAAGTGCTTTTCAGTTGCAGTGCTGCGGTGCATGACAAATTCCTTCCGCTGAGCCAAGTTTTTGAGCATTACGCGTGATTTACGTCAAGGTTACGCCTTTTGCTTGCTGACGCTGGATTGGCTCTTCAAAGATTTTTTAACAAAAACTTCACTCATACCATTTCGCTGCTCTCCTATTCACCTCATTTAGCCTATTTCGCTTTTTGCTTTTCTCATAGTTGAGGATGACTACCTAAGTATAATGTGCAGACTCGACTGAAGAGCTAAAACCAAGTCGGAGAATGCAGTCTTTCAGATGAAAGACACCAAGACAGAGTATCTCTGATCAACTACTGACGTAATTGGTGTGAAATTTGACATGGGCACATCTTAAAGTGCTGCCAATCTAAAAAGAAAGGATGCACTTGGGGCATAAGAGTATATTAAGTGGGAAGGAAGCATTTATTCAGGAACGAATTCATTCACTTCACCATGCAGTCCATCTAAGCTTGTCTGTCCGTTTTGGTTTCTTGTTTTCGTATGGGCGTAATTTTTTAGATGCTTCAATGGAATTTTGCGCCCCCGACATGTTTTGACCCCAGGACGGAAGCTATTGGAAAAGGTTCAAATTGGACTATCGGTATATAAATAATTATGGAACAGTGTAGGGTATTTTTGGTTATTATGAATAAAACATGTGATCACAAGTGATAATTGAAATGAGAGGAAATTCTTTGCGTGTATTCCGTTTATATATATAATTTTATAATTAATTGGCAATAGGGAAATATTTTAAAAACTTTTTGTGTACTTTTTTTTGTTGTTCTTTTTTATTTTGTATTATTATGCAAAATAATGCAAAATATCATTAAATATGTATTTGCATGTTTTTTGTGTCTGTGCCTACAAGCGGTTAAAATAAATAAATTCTATTTTCACTTTTTTTTCTCTGATTTCATTTTCAAAAGATCACATGCATAAATTACGTTCGCGAACAGTGGTATGGGGGCAACACTAACACCAATTTTTTACATCTTGTTTTCATTCAAAATACTTTTTAAATCACACAACACAGACGATTATGGTTTATCCACAATTTTTCTCCACTCTTCGCAGTTATTGCATATAGGTTATCAAGTTGGAAAATATCGGGTTCAAATACTTTTCGAATGATTCTGTTAGATTGAAATATAAGGGATTAGAGTGATACTTTTTAAAATTAATATAACGTAATATTTAGGCTCAAATATATTGCAATGTGTGCTTGCAGGTGTCCAGGACAATTTGAAGTTTCATCATGGAGCGTCTCACGGTTACTAGTCGTTAAATAATTTGACCAAAGCGGCAATTAATTATAGACGCTCATCGTTTGTTCAACAGAGAAGTAGATCGCCATTATCGTTGTTTCGCTAATACAGAGCACCGTCGTTATTGGAACGAGAAGAGCCCACAAGTTTTCCATGAGTCGCCTTAGCATTCAAGTAAACTCAGCGGTGGTGCCGTTCACAGCATTGTGGCCTTCTTGGAGCTTATTTCGTACGAGATGATAAGAAAGTAAACACTGTCGTCAAGGGGAACCATTGCATATCAATGTTATAGGAAATTCCGTGATCAGAAGTTGAGAGCATAGTTATTGGAAACCCGTGGTTTCAACGGAATGGCGCCGTGTGCCACATAGCTGATGCTGGACTCGATCTGTTCGGAGAGAAATTTAGCGACTGGACCATCACAAGACAGGAATTTGTGAGTTGATCGCCGCGGTCGTTTTATTGAGCTTCCTAGCATTCTGTTTTTCTTGAGAGGTACCTGTAAAGCCCGGGCTGTGCTGCGTTTTGCAGAAAGTAAAAATATTGAAAAACCTAAGTAAAATCAAAAATAGGCGCAAAATTCTTTGCTATCGTATTCTACCCACACACCGCCCTCCCCCCTTCCTTTCCTAACCTTTCTCCCTCTAAATGAATACATTTCGAAACTAAAAATAAATATTCTGTCAATAAAAATTCACGCTACTTAATGAAAATGTGTCATCTCACAGCAAATGTGTACATGATGTTATGTAAACGCAGCGTCATTATCCCACGACATATATGGCAGTAAACATTATATTTATTCTGTTCAATTTTGCTTTTCCCAAGACGAAAGTTTTCTTTTTATTGCTAATAAATACAAACTTCTTTTCCGTTTTGAAATCTATCTCTCTTTCTCTTATTCTTCGTTGAAAGAAATAGTTAAGAAAATTATATTCGCTAGCGACCGACATTGCAAGATTAAAAAGAAGGAAGAGAATTATCGTACTCTCAGAATGAAAGGGGCAGGAGCAGGTTTTACTACACAGTTGGGCCGACGAACAGATGGGTAGGACATACTTGATTATACGGATTATTTACATTCAAATGTGCCAGTAAACACGTGAGAACCAATCACTGATCATTACTATGCATTTCACTACTTTTTCTTATACTACTCTCAGGATCAAATTGCATTTCTTTTCAACTACATGCAGGCAAGCAATAAGTTTAATTCAATTAAGGGAGAGGTCTAGTTAAGGGTTGCTGGGCAATTACTTTGGGTGATAAAGCAAAAATTAAAGAAAATTATGCGAGATTTTGAAAGAATACTTTGGTCTTTCAATCTTCTCCAATTAGCTGCTTCTTCCCAGCATTATCGACCGTCTGCAAAATGTCAAATTCAGTTCTACAGAATGTCGACTTTAATCAATTTCTATTCTAATTTGAAGTAAACACAACCTGGATTAACTCTTTGAGACATGAAACTTTCGAAAATAGGAAAACCCATTTTTCGCTCAAGTGGTATGAAATATAACATTATATTACGATTGTTATAATTTATTTAAACCACAGAGATGGATTCTAGGACTAAAAGTAGTACGAGCACAGCCAAGTAAAAAGGTTTTGCGGCTTATAAAATATTATAATATTTCTTATTATCATATTTTTTTATATTTCCACATTTATTGTTTTATATATTTTATACTGTGGGCCATGGCATTACTAAATACCCTACAACATATTCATATAAGGACATCCATCGTATGAGGACTTTTCAAAATCAGGCTTTATATGGAAAGTGCTTGAAAAAGTGATCCAATCCGAACTATTATCGAAAGAATGCGTCCTTGGGTCGCGGCACGACCATGCACCATCAAAATATCGCAGAAATTGCATTCTGATACAAGCTTAGATTGATTCAGAACATGATTCTGAATCGTTTACTATAATAAAATTTGGGTTCTTCTGGTACTTAATATACCCTTGTATCATACACTGTGCAGGGTATAAAAAATCATTGTAAAAAATATTTTAATTCAATTAGTTTTTACTTATAGAGCGAAATTTACACCATATTTTAGTATGTATCAGTTCATAAATGGTATTTATTAGCAATAGCGTCACAAAAAGGTGAGTGCGTTTCACTTTTTATTCCCGTGAGTTTGAAAAATTTTAGTAAATTTTCTTTGTGTTAGTTGGTATCGAGCGTTCATAAAAGGAAAAATCATTTTTATTAAAAGAAAAAGTAACAACAATAACTCCGTTATAGTACCGAAAACTGAGGCATTCGCTTCCCCTAAACCACTAATGAAGTTAATAAAGAATATCGGAAAAGAATTTATGCTTTAATATCTTATACTCTTCTATTACGTAGGGCAAGTTCTTGAAAGGGGAAATGTTTTCTAACAATAATCCAACAATTCAAAAAAAAAGGAAAAAGTTTATCTATTAAGAAAACACAAGAGTAGTAAATTGTGATTGTTGTCAATTTCGAGTCGATTATTGAGTTGCAGAGCAGAATTTGATTGGTAAATGGCCAAGTATTGAAAACTAGAAAACTTTTTGGAAAACTTAGATGTTCTCGATATTATGCATTTAGAACATCGGCAAGAAAATTCGGAGATAAATAAACAAATAGATGATGAAACAACTGTCATTGAGTAAAAGCACAGATATCTTTTCGAATACCTGAAGTATATCATATTTACTTATATATGTACATACAAGCATGTATAAATGTATGAATGTATATGTGTACGTTCAATATAGTATGCATACATATATATATATTTACAGACCGATTTACACAGTTGAATAGTATTTTATAATTTTTTTCGAAATTTCTTTCTTTTTTTTTTTTCTTTTATTAACTTTATTTTCTAGTTTCGGATTAAAAATCTGCTCTAAAAATTGCTGCTAACCTAATTACCAACGAAAGCGGAGTTGAAAGACTTACGACCTTATATACTTTTAGAGTTCGGAAGTTAGCTTAAAAGCTTTAACTGTAATCGTTGATAAAATTGCAAATAAAAAATTTTATGTTTATTTTTTTTTTTTTTTTTAAGAATTACTTACCTTTTGTGGAGATGACAGCAGAGGTTATCCGTTTATTACTAAAACGTGTTAGACTTTTAATTGAATTTAATTTTCTTTTTTATGCTTTTTTTCAATAATTTTTTTTGCAAATTTTTGAACTCAATTCAATAGTGTTTCTGCTGTAAGTAAATAACGTAACGTAAATTGAAGTAAAATAAAACAAAAAAAAAAAAAAATTGTTTTATTTAAAAAATATTTTTACAATATTTAAAAAACAACTTTTCATTAAAAAAAGTGGAAAAAAATTATTTATTATATATAGTTATATGAAATGATTTTAACGCGTTCGCACAAAATTTTTAATGCTTTTCCTTTTTGTCTTTAATAAAGAAAAACTTGTTTCGCGACGCGATCTATACACAATATAGATATTTAAAATTTAACCCGACTTTGACCGCCGTGCGTTGAGAAGGAGACAAACGGACTGATAGTCTCAAACTGCAACAGATATCAATTGGTAGACACCAACCACACAAAATACGTATAGAACACTGAAACACCACCAAAATAAAAAAAAAAAAAAAAAATTTGAATAAAAAAAACCAAAAGAAACAAAAAGCAGCAATAATTGCAAATTAAAAAAAAAAAAAAGAAAAAAAAAGCAACAATGAAAAAAAAAGAAATATATACACAAGAGCAAAAAAATCGAGAAATTAAATAATAAAATAAAACCAGAAAAAGTGGCGAAACCGTTGACAACAAAACGTGAAAAAAAAACGGCAAAAAAAAAAAAAAAACAGAATTACACACATCGCCCGACGCTATTTTGCAAAACGTTTTGTTTATTATTAGTTTGCTTTCTTTTATTTTATTTATTCTTTTCAAAAATTTTGTGTGCTTCCACGAATCGTTAACATTAAACAGTGACACTGAAATTTTCTTTTTAAAAATATACATATATATATATATGTATGTATTATTTAAATATATAAAATATAAAAAAAAATATTAAAATTTTTTTTTCTTTTTCTTCTTTTCATGTTTTAATGGAATAAAATTTTCAAATTTTCAAGTAATGTTAAGGAAAACGCACTTATTTTTTATTTAACAACTTATGTATATGAACTAAACTAAACTAACTAAACTAAACTAAAGCGAACGTCAGCCACATTAACTTTTATGTATAGACACAATATAAATCGATCATACGATGATGATGATCGAACAAAAATACACTCTCGCCAAGTTAGTCAGGCAATCAATCAAGACAACAATTACAGCAATTATACCGAAATCAACGACCCGCTCAATACCAGAGCTTTTCGTTAAATAAACGCAAAATGTTGGAAAAAATCTTAAGCACATTCGCATTTTATGCCTTCGTACTCATACATGCTCGCATTCGCATCATCGCTTAATACGTAACCGATTCCAATCGCAAAACGAAGTCAAACGAAACTCCAGCAAAAAAAAAAAAAAAAAAAAAACAGAGAAAAAGCATTATAATCATTAGATAGATACCAGAGTAACCATGCATTTACACACTCGCGCACACAATTTATGATCATAGTCGCTGTTACTTACTTATATTTAATAGTTAGTAAAACCGACGATCTCCTGCATTGTTGTTGTTATTATAAATCTTTTTTCTTTCTTTCTTTTTTTAATGGCAAAAAGCTAAATCCAAAGAGTGAGAGTAAGAGTGAAAAAGAGAAAAAGAGAGAGAAAGCGAGAGAGAGGGAGAGAGAGAAAAATAAGAGGGATAGAGTAAATAAATGATAATATTTCTCTTGCCCTCTTCAACAATGCAAGCATCGAACGGCCTAAGGTATTAGTAAATAAAATTGTTTTTGGTTTTTTTAATCTTTCACAAATCTAAAGTAACTCATTCGCATACACATGCACACACATATTTATGCTATGCATTACTAGATGCGTAGCTATAGCAGAAAGAGCCTATAAATTGGACACTGCTATAGAATTTCACCTAAAACGCGGAGCGCATCAAATGCGTGAGTTTAATTAATCATTCGCGATCGTTATCGTTTACATCCATTCTTGATAGCAGCAGCAAATGGCTTAGCAAGTCAGAAACTACAAAGTTGAATAACAACTTGATTATCTCGTTAACCTCTCTTCTCCTTTCTTGCCGCCTTTTGTTCTCTTACAGCAAAACTATACGTAGCTTAGTTGTTATTGTTGTTTACATTTTATTTAATGGTAAATTTTTTTTTCAATTTTCTCTGTAATCACGAATCGAATTCAATAAAGCAAAACTCTGATATTGTTATCAAGGAATGAATTATTGTTTTTTACTTTGAAAATTTTAGCATAACTTTGTTATTATTGTATATTATAATATAAGATTTGGTTTTTTTTTTTTTTTTCTTTTTTTGATGACGTCAATCGATGACAACAATTTTTCATTAACTTCAAATTCGTCAATAACACTTAACTTCAATTGTAAATCGAAGCTTGTACGGTCAGGTAAAAAATTCGCATATAAAATTATATACAGTTATAGAAATGAGCGAGCCACGGCCCCACACCACCCTACAGTTATTCATATAGCCATCTGTGCATCAAATGTTTACAATCTCAAAACTTGAATAAGTAGTTATTCTTAGTTTATATCCATAAATCGATTCGAAAGGTTGTTGAATCGGATATGTGTAGCAAATGCTGTTACAAATATTCTTATCTTTTTAACATGCCCCATTAATTATATATGCAGAATGCTATGATTAGAATTAAAATGTTTATACCTTCATTTAAGGGAATAATATAAAACAAAAAGTGAAAACAAAGTAGTATGGGCCGCCATTAAATATCCTACACTATCTTACAATTATTCATATAACAAGTTTTCAAATGAATGCATCGTATTGGAAGTAGTCGAAAAAGTGAAAGTACATCTAATTTGAGCACAAGAAAACACGGTGGTCGCACGGACTGACCATCTCAAAGTTATTCTGAATCGATCGGTATAAAAAAAGGCGAGTTTATCGCAAGTCTTCCCGGTTATTGTATAAAAGAATTCTCTTTAGAACTTTGCTCTGTGAAAATGAATTTTGATAAAAAATCTTGCCTTGAATTGATTTGATAAAACGATCCGATTTATAATAACATTTATAACAACCAATATTATTGGATTTATTTTATATATTACCCAAGCACCCTGTTATTCTTTAATGAAGAAACCAAACTTGCTTCAAGGCTTACTGTGTTCATTTTTCAACGCCTATGTTTCGCTTTCCTTTAATTACTGGATTCTTGTGTTCCCCGCAAGAAGCTAAGTGAATCGTTAAACCAATAATGCTGGTTTACTCACTTGCTTAATAGCTTCTCGCAAAGGGAGAAACGTCAATATTTATGCTTACTTTCGAAGAGTTCTGCTAGGTCGATAAAATCGAGTGCCTTTCTTCCCTTGCTAAAGCAATTAGCAAATTTATTAAGAAAAGTCAAAGGCCGGTTTAATTCTAATTTCTTCCTTTTCTGTAATCTCCTTGCCGCATGCTATTACAGGAGCTAATCTTTAGTAAAGAGACTAAACTCGCTTGAGGAAAGGCTGCTTTCAAAGCAGTTCCCAAACTTGCCTACTTTAACTTATTATTTACATTATTCACCTACTGAAAAAAGTAGTGGCATTTCTCCATCGTACCATTCATACTATTTTCTACCCTATGTACGATAAATTTAATATTTTAAAAAATCTTTGCCATTTTTTTATGGTTTCCGTTTGGATTAAGACCTATATTGAATTTTTCCAACCACAACAAGTCACTACTTGATAAAGCACGACAATCACAAAAGAGTTTAGCACCTATAGAGATTGTTGTAAATATCTGACACTTACGCGTCACTCGCAAGGCGTCAGAAGGTAGTCACTTGCATATTTTTCTTTTTTCTTTCTTTTCTTTCGCGACTTAACGGGGTCGTTTTATAAGCAAATTGATATTGGAGGGCACTGCTGTATGTGGAGGGCTATAAAAAAAAAAAACATCAGAAGACACATTGTTTCTTCTTACGATCGGCGACCGGTCACAATGTGCTGTAAGTCGTGCAATGAAACTAAAGACTAAATCTCAAACTTGAGCTTATGAAGTCTGTAAACTTAAATGTATCGAAAGTGGGTTGCGAAGCGAGAGCCTAAATCGAATACAACCGGGCATTGGCAACGGGCAGTGCCGCTAGTACAAGTTTCACTAAGCAATACCCGCAAAGTATCGATTTAAGATCATATCGTTGCCTTCCTATAAAGATTAAAAATATAAGATTTAATAATTGCCTTACGCTTATGTTCGTTTGCACCTTCACTCAATATTAACTTTCAAAATATGCGAGAAAGCATTCAAACACATTTCACTGAAAAGTTTTTTTTTTGTATTTATTTTAGTTTTTTTAATAGGAATAAATGAGTTTTTGGTATGATTTCATTTCTTCCATACTTAGTGTAACGCAGTTTTATTCCCATATCTTATCTTATCGGAAATGAAAAGTTTATCTTTGTTTTTGCATTTTGTATACAAGACTGATAAAATGTTCGCTAATGTAAGAGCATTCGCTTTAACAAATAGTAACAGCGGAAAGGTAAATAAATGCTACAAACAAAATAAGAGATAAAAAAGATTCGCATAAGAGGCAAATGAAAAAGAAATTTTGTTCGAAGAGATAGATAAAAAAAGTAAAGGAAACTTCTGCCAATGATAACTGAGACGTGATGCTAATTTCGAAAATGGAAGGTCTTCGTAACAGTTTAACAATTGATGCTATCAGTGGTACTATATGGGACGAGAAGATTATACGTCAGCTTAGTGCGCCCTGCACTGAAATGCGCCTCGGTCGTGTGGTAGCCATCATATCGTTGCTATGTGAATCCACTTGAATGTCTGCAGAAACAGTTTTTGTTGTTTGCTCTAAGAAATTTGTGTTGAGATCCAAGCGCCCCGGTCCTTCTTTATGAAAATAGGTTTTTACTTATATCCTTGCCTTCGCTTGAGAAACGTAGGATGGTAAGCTGGTTAATGGTGCCCTTGACTTGCAGTTTTTGTTGAGTGCGATTAATTTTAACGGACAAGGAATTTTCTTTTTATTAAACTTAGCTAATGCAGGTTAAATTACGAGTTTTTTAATCCAATTATGCTTCTCTGTCCGTTTATGGTAAATGAGATTTATAACCTTATTTCCTTATCGGGTCCTCCATTAAGACTATTCTTCTTAATGCCCATGCGCTGCCGAGCATAAAGCCTATTATTTGGAATCCAGGCGCGGGGTTTGACGAGTAGTTGATAGGCACATTGGTTATTTTCTTATATGTTTGTATTAATTGCCTATTGTTTTAAGGTTTTCGTACTTGAAGTATAATCAGGTTAAGTCTTCAAATGTACGAATTGCGCAAATTTAACGGAATGTTCGCCGTAGCTGAATTCTGTATTTATAGAAATTAAGTAAATAAATAATTAAAAAATGTCTACTATGAGTGCTGCTCGTGAGCAGGTAGTCAGCGAAGGCTAATATTAAAGATGCAGCTGATTAGCCTTTCACAATTAGTTTAATATGTTCTGCTCCAAAGTAAAATATTTTTCATAAATTTCGTCAAAAAAAAATTGGCATAAGTAAAATATACAGAAAAACGAAAAAAGATGTGACGTTTATCGAGTTTTCTTATCGAATCTCTTCAATCGGTTATCTTAGATGTATTTTGGAGAAGAGAAAAGTCTAAATTATTATACCAAACAATAAAATTTATCTATATATAAATGTTCGATTTTTGATCGCAAAAGTATGCCGTCAATTTTTCAAAAAGCCGTAGTTAGGGCATAATTTTTAAACAATTTATGGGAGAAAGTAATGCTTAAAAAATTTAATGAATTGAAAGCCTTTTCGCCCCTTTTCGAAACTTGTTGGCGAGCTTTTGGGCCTATTTCACTGTTTGATTACCCCAGCGTAGAAATTATCCTGAGCTTATAAAATAACAAAAGTTAAAGAAAACGGCAGCCGTATGTCGATGATACGATCGGTCATTAGCCATGAGAGGAAACAATATATTAGGTGCTTGCACATGTTTTAATCATTTTTTCACTTGCGTGTTAAACAAAATACACTCCATTATTTTCTTTAATTTTGTCCCATCATCTCTCCTTCTAGCAACATGGCGATATCGCGTCGAAAGAGAAAAAGTATTAGTATGGCAGCAATCCAGTCATCGACCTATTTTCGCACTTCTTCTTAACTATAGTATTTCCAATATTTCATATATTTTATTG